AGAACAAAAAAAAAAAAAAAAAAAAAAAAAAAAAAAAAAAAAAAAATGATTGGCTCCTATTCTTCAAGAATATTTCATTTAAAAAAATCACCATTTTGAGGCATTACATTTATTCTGTTTCTTGGGACATACTCCTTTAAGAAATGAGACTCTAAAATAATTTCTTTCTTCATAGAAATTGTTAAAGGATTTATTTTATTATTGATATTTTGTATGGTATGAATGTGTTATGGGGGTGTGTGAGTATGGGTGGGTGAATGTGTGTGTTGGGTGGGTGTGTTCATTTATGCACATGAGTGCATGTGTCTGTGTAGATCAGAAGAGGCTGTCAAATCTCCTGAAGCTGAAGCTACAGGTGGTTGTGAGCCAACCAATGTGCATTCTGGGAACCAGATTTGGGCTTCTGAGCCATCTCTCCAATCCCTCTTCACAGAAAATTTTAAAAATCACTCCATATATCTACCCCTGAAAAGAGAAGAAAAAAATCTGAGTATATCTTAAAAGATATAATTTTCCTATAACAAATTCTAAATATGGGCACTTAGATGTTAAAGTAACTGGATTGTTTGGTCTATTCTCCAACATTCTAGCAGTTTCAAGATTAGATAACTGAAAATTTTCATTTCCAATATTAATTGATTCAAAAGCTCACTTGTATCATTGACTGGTTGAGCATAAGAAATATTTTAGAAATTTCCCTCAGAACTTCTTCCATATCTATCAGTGTTGTAAACTGAGTTTAAGGAGAACAAATACATAAGCAATGGAAATTTGAGATATTCTTTTTCATCTTATATGTAGTTTTATATGTCAAGATATAATTTAAACTCATCAGTTAAGTCTGAAGATGTTTCTTATATAGCTTAACTGAATGGATTATGTATATGTGTGTGTGTGTGTTCATGTGTGTGTGTGTGTAAAGTAGCCAACATCTAGAGCATCCTATTACCCAAGAAGATTATTTTCAACACATACTTTCCCTAATGGCTAGAATTGTTCTAGACTCAATCATCATAAGCCAGCCTTACCTGTTCTTGAGCCTCATAGAATTTGAACAATTGATGTTCAGATTCATTCACAGTTCTGAATACCCATGTTTGGCTCTTTTTCACTACCATGGACTAGTCTGTGATATCAGTGTACCATGAATTACTTATATTTAGTCACGTTAGTGCTGATGGTCCTTTTGATAGTTTTATTCTTTTGGCTACTGTAGATCACACAGCCATGGTCATTCTATGGGTATATTCATTTTCTTTGATTAGCACATGGTATGTAAATACTAGATCATAGGCAATCTGTGATAGAGTAGATATTGCTAAGAAACATCATGGCTGAGCACATTTAAACATGCACTGAATATGTGAATGCATGCTAATCATCCCACATTTTTACCAGACCTTGATGTTGTCAGCCTTTTTCATTGTGACATCATTTACCCTATGACCATTTATGTTGAGTATATCTGCATAGGCTCATTAGTCACTTCAATATTCCCTTCTACTAACTTGTTTGAGTCACTTGCCCATGTTATTTATTTATTTGATTGGCAATCTTTCACTTGGTAAGTTCTGGCTACTGTATATTTTCCTTGATACAAATTCTTCATTAAATGTGTGTGTGTGTTGTAAGTATTTCTCATACACTTTACCTGGCTTTTTAAATTTTTCCCTTTTATTAAACATAGATTTTTTTCTCAGACAATATAATCTGAATATATTTTCCCCTCCCTCTACTCCTTGTTCCTTCCTACCTGACTTGATAAGTAAGACCTTTTAATTTTGATAATGGTCATGAGCATCATTTTAATTAAGCCCAACTTTTAGTCATTTTCTTTCTTGTGTTATTTTGATTCTGTTTTTAAAACTGTACATTAAGCCTCCAAATCACTGAAATGTTTTCCTAATACTTATAACATTAATATTTAGTTGCTTCAGTTTTCACTTATTAGATAAATCCATTTCTAATAAAGTTTTTATATAATATGAAAGACAAGTTTCAATCAGAATAAAGAGATAAAAATGAACAAACAAACCCAAAACCTTTTCCCAGGAATTTGCATGAAGGCCCATGTCTTTGAAGATGTGCTTGTTCCTCATTATTCAGTATCATACAACACTGCATCTGGACAGTTGATCTCTCCCATACTGGAGTCATGAATGAGATGTTCATAATAGAAAATTGGGCTGGAGAGATGGCTCAGTGGGTAGAGGCGCTGCAGAAGGTCTGAAACCTGTGGGAGATCCCTGGGATATTTTTAAACAAATTTTTACTAGTTTTTTATGGGAGGCACAGAGGTTCTTGTTCTCACAGATAAGTACTAGAGGAACAAGGAACCTTAAACACACAGGGTTGTCCCTTCAAAGGTAGATATATAACCTATTATCTGCCCCGAAGGCTAGGAGCAGAAGTGGCTAACAACCTGATGACCTTTGCACTATCTGTATGGCCAAGACCACAACAGATCCTCCCTCAGACTTATCTGGAGCTTGTTTTTCTCAGTTAATCTATAGAACTCATCTTTTTTTTTTTTTT